ATATATATATATACACTTGCTTAAGATTGTGGGTCATGGAATTAAAGTTTGCCCCAAAAGTTCCTCATAAATATGTGAAATGCAAAAACAAATCGACGAAGCTGAGTTAAGGATTAAAAAGAATCTTCCAAAAGAGGTACACCTACCAAGTTCTCATGGACCATGTTACTCTACTTCTTCTATTCAAATTCATGATGCTAGTGTCAATATCGAATCACTTAAAACGAAATGGTATGAGGCTAAAAAAAGAAAAGCTACTAGAGATTGTTGTTTAGAAAAGGCATTTATTAAACATATGCGAGAACAACTAGATGGTAAAATTACAAGGATGTTCTTTTCAGTTGGCCTACCTTTAACCTTGCAAGAAATCAATATTATAAAAAACTTTTATTTTTGCATGTAATAATAACCTTACAGGTTATATTCCATCGAGGTACAATATTATTAGATCAAAGTTATTGCATAGAGAGAATTTAATATTGAGAAATTACTTTAACCAACAAAAGGTACATGGAAAGAGAAATGAGTTGGTTTAGTACGTGATGGCTGGTCTGATCTACAAAGACGACCACTTATAAATTTTATGGCAGTATCAGAAAGTTCCTCAATGTTTATCAAAGTTGTAAATTTATAAAGATAAATTCTTCATTTATAATTTGATTAAAGAAGTTATATTAATGGTTAGTCCTTCAAATATTGTTCAAGTAATTACTGATAATACTCCAGTTTGTAAGGCAACTGGTTTACTTATTGAGCAAATATATCCTCATATCTTTCGGACACATTGCACTATTCATACCATTAAACTTGTCTTAAAGAATATGTGCGGTAAAAAATACTAAAGCAAACGAGACTACATACAATTAATGTGATTGGATAACAGTGGTTGTTAGAGATGTTATTTTGGTAAAAAAATTTATCATGAATCATTCCATGAGGATTTCTATATTCAATGATTTCCCCAATCTAAAGATGTTTGTTGTTGTTGAAACTAGATTTGCTTCAATTATTGCGATGTTAAGAAATTAAAACAAATTAAAAATGCACTTCAAACAATAGTGATTAGTGAAATATAGTCGTGTTATTGTGACAATGATGTGGGAAAGACAAGATAGGTGGAGCAAAAGTAACACACCCCTGCATTGCTTAGCTCATTCTTTAAAACCAAGATAAATTTTATGTTTTTATTTTCTTGTTTATTTTTATTTAATTAAGTTATAATCACATAAATCTAATTTTTTTATTTTATTTTTTTACATTTTTAAAAGATATTCAAATAAGGAATGGCTCGAGGAGAATCCTCAACGACTTCCCCCTGAAAGAGATTTGGAAATTTCAAATATGAGAAAAGTGTTTGAAGCAGTATTTTCCAAAATGATGACAAGAGACGACAGTTAAATGTGGAGTTAGACAAGTTTTTTTGGATATTTAGATGAATTTGGAGATCAAGAGTCTTAGGGTGATGGGTGGGAGAAGGATCCAAAGATGTGGTGGTTGGTTTTATGGAGCTTCAACACCTTTACTTCAAACTATTGCCATAAAGCTTCTTGGACAAGCTTTTGCTCGTGTTCAATCATACAAACAATGAAGAATAACAAAATAAATCCACAATGAGTTGAAGATTTAGTTTATTTGCATACTAGCCTTCATTTATTATCAAGAAAGGCTCCAAATTACATGGATGGTGAAAACAAGATATGGGATGTTGCATGAGATGGATTTGAGACCCTCAATGATAACGAGAATTTTGGAGATGGCAAAACTTTCTCTTGATGAACCAGTTATTTCTTTTAATAGATTAATGTAGTTAAATTTTGATGTAATAAAAGATAATATATGTTCTTATGCTTGCATTTTAGATGTCATAAATTGAAGTTATATCTATGGGCATCATAGCTTTTGAAAGTTAATGTTATTAACTCTTCTGTTTTATTTATTTAATACATAAATATATTTTTAATAATTTTTATTATACAGTGTCTGGCACGTGTCTGTGTCTTATATTTTCAATAATCGACGTGTCCTATGTCTGTGTCGTGTCTGTGTCGTGCCTATGTCATGTTGTCTCTGTCGTGTCCGTGTCCCCGTGTCCGTATTCGTGCAACATAGCCTAGAAGACCAAACCACCCATATTTCATATAAGTTTCTAAGCATGAGGGAGCTTGCAAAAGGAAGATTAGATCAATTTATAGGAGTATTCTTGTTCATGAACTCATTGATAAACTCTTCAATCATAGACAAGAAATTTGTGAACGGTATGAGGATAAATCAAAAGTTCAATAGCAAGGCTTTGATGAAGAATGTGATGGATGAATTAAAATTTCATGTGTTCAAATCACAAGAAGCAAGGTCGTGCAAAAGGCACTTAAATTGGCCCAATTAAAACAGGACGGCCGATTCAAAAAAAAAAAGAAGTGATTACTACCTTTGTCTACTATTTTTATTTAAACTAGTAAAGACCAAGATTAAACGGTAGGAACTCAATTGTTTGGCCACACTGTTTTGCAGCCTGCAGAAAGGCTTCAAGGAAATTGTAGACAGGTCACTGAGAGGCAACTCTTTGCTGTAGTTACAATGGATGGAAAACTCTTCCCTATTGCATGGGCAGTTGTGTAATAGAAACAAAAAAGAATTAGTAGTTCTTAGGTTTGCTTGGTAGAGATCTGGAGCATGGTTCCACCTTTGCATTGGACAAACAAAAAAACTAATACATGCCTTCGAAGAAGCTTTTGATAGCATTTAAGGGAATGGCATTAAAAGATGTCTTATGGACAACTGCGAGATCAACAACAATTAACTAAATTCACATATTGGATGGAAGAAATGGAAAACACTATGTAAAGGCATTTCAATGGTTAAATGACAAGCACTCAAGTGAAAGGTCAAGGTGGCATTTCAATTTAATCTTAAGTGTGACATATAAATAAAAAATTAAGTGTGAATGTTTTTTTATCATCGAGTTTTGATGGTAGAGAATTGTAAATTCTTTAGCTTCCAGAGAGCATTGGAAAGACTGTCATGAAAAAGAATACGAGAAAACAAATACAAAGCCAAGATATAGATTCAGATGTTGCATCAAAGATTGCAGAGGAAGAACATATATAAAGCTGAAACATGTATTGGAATAAAATTTGATAAAAACAACTATCAAATCACCAATGTGCGTGGAGTTTGGCTGCTTAGCACGTGCAAGCATTTATTCCACAATCATTAAAGTGATAATCAGGTAGAATAATTAGCAAAATTAGTGAAGTCATAAGCACTTTGGTAATATCCCAGCTATGAATTAATAAAGAGAATAAAAAGAAATAACCCAACCAATACTACATCAACAAAATACTCAAAAAGGCTCACAACAAAAATTTATTAGATTCCTTAATTGCTCTGTTGCAGTAAAAGGTTATCATGAACTGGAGAAGTAAAACCGTTTGTGGTATTGTTTGGATCAGGGAATTGGTTAAAGCTGCAACACAAATATTAAGGTCAGACAATGGACTTCTACTGGTCCCAGAGGATAGAACATACATTCAGTTCATTTGCAAACATAGAGTCGAAAAAAGAGTTTCATGACATTTAACGAAAATTACTATTAGCATAATGCTTCTGTATGTGTCATTTTCTTTATTGGAGATAAGGAATTATACAGTGAAAAAGAGAAACATGTGATTGAAATAACTTCAAGAAAAAGTTTGCAAAATATTAGAACAGAAAAATTTGCTGGCTTAACATAACAAAACAGTTAAAATCGGCTCATGACTTTTGAATTTGAGTTAACTGCCAAAAAAAAAGTAGGTTCATAAGTTGTTTGACTAAAGATAACTCTAACCAAAAAATGATATAACCGAATCCCTATCAAGAGGAAGAGCCCTTCCTAACCCACAACCAAGTTTAACAAATGCAGAATAGCAAAGCTGCTGAAACGAAATCTCGGTTCTGAATTAGGGTTTAAAATTGCTTTAAAAAAAACTACACTTATCCATGCAAACAAAGCCTTACACCTAGAAAAGAGTTTCTCTAACCGCTAGTGAGCTATGTTCAACTTTCATTTAACAAATTATTTGCAGCATGGATAACATCTTAAGAGAGAAAAAATGTATGAACAAAAGCATGTTAACATGTAATGATCCTTGTTCAAATACCTCGTGTTCATTGTCATGACCATGAGAATGGTCCCCATGTCCTTCCCAAGGATGACGCCATCCCTTAGATTTAAAAAAAGAAATAGAGAAAGAAAGAGAGAACATTTTACAGGCTGCATAAAAAGGAGAAATTAAAATAGACTAAAAAAAGCAACTTACCAATACTACAGGACCATCTTGCTTAGCTCGGTATAAAACCCAAAACCTAAACCAAAAAACAATTAGACATGAGAAACGAAAAACTTATCTATAAATCAAGCAGTAGCTCGCACGCAGTTTACTCAATTCTAATCATCAGGACATCCCATCAAATCAGTTAGGCTGCATAATTTCATCTAGCATGCAAAATATGCATCCAATGGAACACTCAAAAAACTTTTATCAAGCTGAGAATTCCATAAAAGAAAGCCATTTATTTCTGAACAAACTTAGACCTTCCGATCAAGATGCTATGTTGTTAGATTCCTTCATTTCATCTGGTAGTTCCTTTCTTTTCTTTTATAATGTCTCAATCCCCGCAGCAGACGTGTCTTCAACATTTAAGATATTTCTAAGATGTGTCAATCACCTTTAAGCTTAAAAAAAAGCCATTTTACATTTCTTTAGTGCATACACGTAATAACAATAGCAAATGAAAGAGGCATAACCTATGGAATCAAATAAATAAAAGTTTGGATGCTGGCTAAGTGAGAGGAAGTGATTAGAAAGAAGCATAAGTATATGGTGACCTGATGTGAAGTTCAAGAGATACGGACAGCTTTTCCTATGAATCCTTTAGGATCACCTACTCCGTAATTTATCCTATATCCAGGAATATAAGGAACCGTCGCTTATCCTATATCCAGGATTGGGGGGACTGTAGCAAAACCTATGATCTTTCATTATTCTGGGACTATAGCATCCTATGATCTTAACTTAGGATTGTAGCATTCTGCGGTTGTTCATTATCCGAGATGGCATATCAGGACTATTTCCCATTCACGCAGGCTGGCAATGATTGGATTCATAGTACGCTTGCTTCCTATGTGTTGGCTGGTTCAAGTGTCTACAAAAAAGAGTTTCTTGGGACATATAAAAACAATTTCTTTTTAAATAAAATCAATTATGTGGATGTGATTTTTTTTCTTCGCCCTTCTAGTGCTCAGTCTTCAACCCAGTGTGAGAGATGATACGAGATTGAATTTGACAAACACGAAAAAACACTAAAAAGAGATTAAAAAAACACAACTGTTAATACTGTTCTACGACTCCTAAAAGATGTTTAGGAAACAAGGTCTTCAAAGAGGTGGTTGTGGATGGCAATGGGAGATAAAATACGAGTTCTACGGCACTTGGACAGGCGATTAGCATCGTTCGATGACTGTCCCGGCTGAAAACAACAAATAGAGGTCCAAAATGTCAAGGTACGGAGGTCGAGGAGGTGCACTGCATGTTCCTGCATAAAGAGGTGGTTGTGGGATGGCAAAGAAAAGATAATATACAAGCTCAACGAAGTTTGGATGGGCATGAACAATGTTCGGTGACTTTCCCAGCTGAATATAGCAAAGAGAGCTACAAAACAATGAGACACGGAGGTCGAGGATGTTGGCCACATGTTCCTGCACAAGCTACAAACACACCACTTGCAAAAGGAAAAGAATACAACACTCCTAATGTAGAAAAGATATCACAATCTTCATAATACTCAAAACAAAGCAACCAAAAAAATAAAAAATAATAAGATATAGATAATTCCCTCATAAAAAAAGCTAATTATAAATAGAGAAATGTGAAAGAAATAAAAAATAAAAAAAAACAAAAAAAAAGGCTAAATTGGAAGTTCATGGTTGTTACATGCAGAAGAATTCCCATCTACAAGGACAAGTGCATAAATCCGCTCGGTTCTTGTTGTTGCATGCACAAGAATTTTTGCCTATGAGGAAAAGTGCGAAAAAATTGCTGGTTTCCAGTTTACGAAGGAAACTATTGAGGATCGTTGGAAACAAGGTGTCCCATGTCACGTTCGGTCACGACACAAGGATGCCTTCCATACTCGCATCCCGCGTCAATCTCCCCAGGTAGGAGGTGCATCTTCTTCCCAAAAAATTTCTGAAAACAATCTACCATTATAACAAAGTCATTGCACCGTTATGACTCTAGGAGCCGCACTAGAAAGTCTATTTCCATGCCCGCCTAAGACAAATGTGAACCATGAACGTCCTTACAAAGTTTGTCCTAATATAATAAATATCCATCCATCTTTAGTATAATAAGAGCAAAAACTGCATATGGGCTTTACTTTAATGAATCAAAACTCTAATAAGTAAATCTATAACATACTTCTAACACTCTTCGTACTCAGTTGGACGTATCCAATGAACAAGTCTATTTGAAGGAACCAACCTTGGAATGAAATCTATGGAATGTGGGACTACTCTCAGTGATAATCACCCAGTAGATAAATTGTCGGTCAGGATATACAGCAATTTCTTCAACATGGGTTGTTCCTTTTATGATATTGGTCCCTCAGACTCATTATTTCCTAGGACAATCAATATTAATCCAATTATGATCTCCTGTTTTGACTCAACTTGAATCATTAGTATCTTTCACTGAAGCTGAAAATTGACTCCTCTAATGTCTTCCTTCTCTCCCATGTCATTGTTTATTTCTTAAACTGCTCACTGCTCCATAAAAGAGTTCGCCCTACTTTTTGAGCAATCAGACACCATGTGGCCAAAGTCGTGACACTTGAAGCATTTAATAGTAGAGATGGATTTAGGAGTGTTAGAGGGATACACCATTTCTCTACTCTAGATTGGTTTCTTTTTAAGAGGGATCAACTCAGACGCTCCACTGGGTGTACTCTAGCTATCTGATCTGATGGTTGAACCATATTTGGAGGACAATGTGGGTTTGATGTCGATGTGTTGTATCTCCACCTTCAAGGTTAGAATTTGGACATCCTCTAATGTCCAATAAGACTGCAATTGTACCACATTGTGAATAGATGATCTCAGTCCCCTCAAATATCGAGTTATAGTTTTCTCGTCGGGCTCTACTAACCCACAAATCAATATAAGCTACTCAAACTCAGCTGTGCAATCCTCTACTGATAGATTTATCTTTTGTAAATGGCAAAGTCTCAAAAACGTGTCATGCCTATAATATGCCTACTAGTTACTTGCGCTATATCACTCATTTCATCGTGGAGTAGGTAGTGATTTTACTTTTTCATTCTCATTGTTGAATAATATTCAAGTTTTCTCACCACAAAAAAAGTGTTTTTCCTAACCTTGATGGCTACAAATTAACTCTTTTATATTGGGAAACATCTTTGTACTAAAAAAGTCTTTCCATTATTTGGAGCCTCCGTAAACAAGCCTGGATCCATGAGAATGTTAAAATCCAATAAATCCACATTTACTCCAAAATGTCGGCTTCTCCTCTGATATTTCATGTCAATTCTTCAAGATATTAGTTATTCATCATTGGATAATGTTTGGTGGAAGGGATTCACCTCGGCCTCTAGATCTAGTGAGTCACCATTGAGACTATGGGTGACCTCACCAGATTGTCTCTCCTCTAAAGAGCAGCAAGTCTCTATTGCAGTTGGAAGATTTTCTGTTGCATATCCTCCATAATAATCTCTTGAATATCTTGTTGAGGGTTTCTCCTTGGCGATATGACGGCTCATTCTTCTAATTAAAATTATAGATGAAAATGAAGGGAGGTTAATGGGGATCGTAGAGATGAAATTTATGTTTAAGGGCAAAGGAAGAAAAATCCCTAAAAAAATTTAAAGTGTACTGGGCTCTGATACCCAATGATATTGTTCTAGAGCACCTACAAGATGTTTAGGAAGCAATGTTTGTGTGAAGGCGGTTGTAGGATAAAAAAAGAAATATAATCTACAAGTTTGGCGGCGCTTGGACGAGGATGAGCATAATTCAGCAGCTATCCCAACTGAAAATAATAGAGAGAGCTTCAAAATAGTGAAATACGGAGGGTCGAGGGAGTTCACCACTTGTTCAAGCACAAGCTACAGAAATCACAACAACAACGACAACAAAGTCTTTATCCCACTAAGAGCGGTCGGCTACATGAATCATTTTTCTTCATTGTGTCCTATTGAGTGTTCTATTTTCATTTAATGCTAATAGATTAAGACCATTTCTTATGCAGCATGCCCCAATACTTTTAGGTCTACATCTACCAATTTTTACCAAAAGTCGAATCTAAAACAACTACTCTCCTAACAGGATCATCAGATGGTTGATGTTTAATGGAACCAAACCATCTAACGCAACTCTCTAATCTTGCATGCCACAGGAACTACACTAACCCTTTCACGGATATACAGAGTAAAGCTACTCATCCACCTAAGCATTCTCATCAACACCTAACCTAGTTTTATGCTTGTTTTTTATAGGCCAACATTCCGCACCATATAGCATTGCAAGTCTCAACACCATCTTATAAAATTTTTCTTTAAAAATAAGTGGTATTTTTCTATCACACAATAGACCCGATGCATTCCTCCATTTCAACCATCCAACATGAATTCAACTAATAACATCCCCATATACATCACCATCACTTTGAATAATAGACCCGAGATATCTAAAACATTCACCATTTTTAATTACTTGATCACTCGTTGTTGCGGCTATGCCACTAAATCTACTACTACTACTTGCCTATTTCCAATGGATACTATGCATGTTCAAGTATTAAATTTCAGCAATATTAATTACTTTATCGAAAAAACAACCAAAGAAAAATAATAGGATATTAGCACATGGAATGTCTTTCATTCAGGAAAATCCAAAACATAATCAAGTATTTAACTCTCCCACTAATTAACTTCCCTATTAATAACAAAGCTAATATCATATTTTACATAAGAAATTACTAGACTTATATCTTAACATTCGGCTTAAGACAATGAAGGCCAAGCCCAAAACAATTCAAATGACAGCTACGCAAAATATAATTATATGTTAACACATTCAACATTACGATGGATCTTGATATGACAATTTATCCATGCCTCCCATCGGCATCAAATTATTCCCTAAACATTGCATTTCAACGTAACACCCTCCATCTTCTTTTGATAAAAAATAAATAACAATGTGATCTTGGGCTACATCAGCCAAAATCATTCTCACATAGATTTTGAAACCAAAATGATGCAACCTTGTACAACTATGCGAAAACTTCATCAACCCATTAAGAGAATCCCAAAGATTCTTTGATTTTTCTTACAAATGAGGCCTCGAGTATCATTAACCTATTTTTCATTCCCAAGGTTATAGTTATAATTATTTAGTTACGTAGACGGATTGAGCTATACAAGGAACATTCTCCCAAAACATCATCCTGCCTAATTTATTTCAACCTTTAAGATCTAACTCAAGCAATAGAGTAATCTCACCACCATTAATGCAACTCCTAAAATGACTTACTATTTGTAGGAACAGATTCATAGAATGACAATCCACTTTGATCACTCAACAGGACATTTATAATAAGCAAAGAATATCTATATGCAGCTAGCTTCACTTCTACTCCAATGCAAAAAGTTAATTTCTCTTGAAATGCAACTACAACAATTATAGTTGCAAGCGTAAAGTAGATTTTCAATGCAAAAATTAAAAAAACTAAACTAATAGCAAAATTTTCCCATCGAGCTCAATTCTTCTACTCAATGTGTGTCTAAGCATACCAAATAGACAAAAAGGAGTCAGGTTCTTATTATAATTTGGGCTATGGTAAGCCCAATTTTTACTCAATAAAAAGTTGAGCTAGGTTTAAGCTAGTCATCCAGCCTCCATCTTCCTCAATTGTGTCCTTAAGTTGATCACTTTGTCTTCACTCAAGTTGCCTCATCACAATTTAGTTCTCGTTCATGTCGCACATTGGAATCTCGCATGCACCAACCCATCACCTCATATGATCCCCATCATCAATGCCATCTTCATCTCTAACAATGTCTTTTTCACCATTTCTCTCTCCTCCATACTCGATTGAGATGTTGCGGCCTTGGTCTCTCTTGCCACTCTACGTCAGCATCATCATTAGTTGTTGTCACACCCCTCATGTTCATGATCAACCCACTTGCAATCTCTACTCCCTATTAAGTCGCCATCAACATTAGTGATGGATTTACTCTTTATGCATTGATTAATTAAAAACGACTATAATTGCCAATGCAATACAAGATATTTGCATAGTGTCCGCCCCATCCATTGTCAGCAACACTAGTTGCTTCACCAATCAACCTCCCATTCTGTTCCAAATCATGATTAATTGTTGTTAATATAGACTTATTTATATTCATTCAAATATTAATCTATCATTACAATTGGCAAACTAATTGATGACAATTCAGTTATTCTTGCATAAGATTAACTATTTAACAACATGAAAACTAAAAATTATCCATATTTTAAAATAAATTGATAATACTAAGAAGTTAAAGTGTTATTTAAGGCTTAAGTAAACGTACTAATCAAACCCCAATTAATATCAAACTTCCTTATTAGGTTATAAGCCAGCTTACTATTCACCAGACAGTGTCTCAAGCTTATAGCATCACGTGATCTGATCCATTTGGCCAATCCAACATATTAAATCAATTTATAAGGCAAGCTCCTAACTTTCCAGACGAGCTTATATGAACAGGCAACCAAACAAACCCAGAAATCTCTCAATCAAACTTCTTCACGCACCACCACAGCTCGAAAAAATTACTAGAAAACAAATATATAAATTAAGAAGCCGAAGTTATCCTATCTCGATGCCCAAGGGTATAGATTTCTACCTAGAGTTTTTCAAATCACCATCACAAACAAACCAAAACAACGAAACTAAGAGAAACTGGGGATTAAGCTTATTGCAAAGGTTTCGCGTATGAAAGGCAATGAAAGAAATTGGAATGAAAGTTAGAGATCGAAGGAGGGAGGAAAGAAGCGCACCACATGATGGCGCATAAACCCTTGCCGGTGACGACGTGCCAACGCTTCGGTCCGTGAAGTGTATAGCCCTTATAAGTGATGCCGTCGCTGCCGCCATGGCTTCCTCCCATTTCTTCCGCTCCCAATGCCCCGCTGG